GGATGGGAGTGTCAGAGACAGTGCGATTGGCACAGGACAGAGCGGAGTTTGGGGCTGTTGTACATAGGGTCGCTATGAGTCGCAGGCGACTCGACGGCACATAACAACAACATAATATTTATAAAAGGGATCTCTGGTGGCCTAGTGGTAAGAAACTATGCTGCAATCCCAAAGGCACAAGGTTCAAGTCTACCAGCTGCTCAGTATCCTCCTGTGCGATAAACTGCCTCCAAAAGCCCACTGGAGGATCAGTTATGGATTGGGTCCAACTCAACAGTACACAACAACAACAGCAACAACAACAACAACAACAATCTTTAGGAAAGCAAACTGTCATGCCATTTTTATTGTTGTAGTGGCTGGTGTGTTTGAACTGTTGGCCATTTGGTTAGCACCAAGGCTCTTAATCACTGTGCCACAAGCACTTCTTCTGTGCTTAAATTGAAGGGCTTTCAGGCACGAGCCAGAAGAAATAAATATAGATTTCAAAAACCTGTATTTTTTTTTCTAACGTATTCATCATATGTGTGTGCTCTGTTTGCAGACCAGTCATGTCTTCCCGCCCATCCTTCCCACTGTGGATGATTATCCTCATTGTATTTGGAGTACTGGCAATTCTGGGAATAACTATTGGTCTTCTGGTTCATTTTCTTGCAGTAGGTTGGTAAAGGATTTTTTTAAATTTATCTCATTTTATTATAAATTTTTAGTTTTACAGAAGATAATGGCAAACAATGCATTTCCTTTCTTTAAAATAAAATACATTTCTTTTAAAAAATGAATTTATTTTCCTTATAAAACTGAAAGAGTTCTCATTAAAGTTGAAGTTTTATAGAAAAATTCCAAAAGAAGAAAATTAGATAGAAAGTAAAGACCTTCCCAAGTGTAATATTTTCCCAAGGATTAGCTTCTCCTAACAACATTGACCAAATTATGTGATATTTAGTACTTTTTACAATGCTACAATTCAAAGGTATTGAATCTTCTTTTGTCATACTTAACCAATTGTCCAACTTTCAGATTCATAGTAACTGAAAACACCTTAGGTATCAATAAACTGTACCATAGAAATTCTCTTGTCAGCATGCCAGTTGTAAATACCGTTTCCATAGGCTATTTCAAGTAAGCTGTTTTTATGGTTTGTTGTTGTTGCTGTGTGTAACATCCAGTTGGAACCAACTCAGAGCTGAAAACCCTTCAGGAGTTTTCAGAGGCAGTTAATCCCCTGGGAGGAGATTTACCATCTTTCTCCCATGGAACAGCTGGTGGATTTGAACCACATTCCTTCAGAATTACAGCACATCTTCTCACCACTAGGCTACCAAAGCTTCCTGGTTTTTTATGGCTTAGGTATTTTTATTGGTTTTTACTATTGTTGTTGTTGTTATGTGCCGTGGAGTCGTTTGCGACTCATAGCGACCCTATGTACAACAGCCCTAAACCCTGCTCTATCCTGTGCCAATCGCATTGCCTCTGACACACCCATCCCCATTACCCCAGTCACTGAATCAATCCACCTCATAGAGGGTCTTCCCCTTCTGCGCTGTCCCTCTACTCTACCCAGAATGATGTGCCTCTCCAAAGACCTGTTTATCCTTGCAACATGTCCAAAGTATGTCAGACGAAGCCCCAGAATCTTTGCCTCCAAGGAGCAGCCTGGTTTAACCCTCTCTAGGATGAATCTGTTTGTTTTCTTGGCAGTCCATGTTACATTCAATACTCTTCTCCAGGACCACAGCTCAAAGGAATCAATTCTCCTTCTGTCCTCCCTAGTCATTGTCCAGCTCTCTGATCAGGATGGATGGTGAAGAGATTGAGATTGTTCACAGCTTCAGTTTGCTCGGCTCCACAGTCAACACTCTTGGCACCAGCAGCCAGGAAATCAAAAAACGTATTGCGATGGGAAAGTCTGCTGTTAGCGACCTCTCTAAAGTACTCAAGAGCAACGGTGTCTCTTTGGAGACGATGGTGCTCCTGATACAGGCCATGCGTGGTCTTTGCAATCACTTATTACGCATCAGAGTTTTTACTATAGACTACTTAAAATACATTATAAATTAAAGATTGAAGGAAAATTCATCAACAGTCTGTATTATGCATATGACACAACTAAACACTGCAGAAATTGGAGAAAACCAGAAACATTTACTAGAGAAGATAAATTATAGCATTCAATATATATTGCATTTCAACAACAAGTAATAAAAATCATTGGACCAATAGGAAACATTACGATAAACAGAGAAAAGCTTTAATTTGTCAAACTTTTCATTTTACTTGGATCCCCAGTCTCATTCATGGAGGCAACGTTCATGGTGGCAGCAGTTGAGAAATTAAAAGATGTGTTGCATTGGGAATATCTACTGTCAGAGGACTCTCCAAAGTGCTAGAGGTCACTTTAAACACTGATCCAAGTCATGATATTTTTCAATTGCTTCCTATGTATGTGAAAGTTGGAACTTAAATAAGAGTATCTGCTGAAGAATTGATTCCTTTGAATTGCAGTGTTGTCAAAGAGTATTGAATACACCATGGATTGCAAAAGAACAAAGAAATCTGTCTTGGAGGAAGGGTAATCAGGTTGCTTCTCATAGGCAATAGGATAGTGACAACTACATTTTGCATTCTTTGGATAGGTTGTCAGGAAAGATCAATCTTTGGAAAAACACATCATGCTGGGAAACTTAAAGGTTCAACACAGTGACTGTAACAATGGGCTTGAATATGTCGGAAATTGTAAATGGCAGAGGATAGGACAAGTTTTTGTTCTTTTGTTCTTAGAGTTTCTATGAGTGTTATTTGACATAAGGGCACCCGATAACAGCTACAATATAATCATAACACTTATAATTTGGAAAATATTTTTAGCTATTTCTGGATTTCATGCTGATTTTACTTAAATAATTCTTGGATTATTTCTTTCTCTCCTAGAAAATAAAACCTACTATTATCGAGGTAGCTTTAAAGTAAAGGGTATCCCGTATAATAACAATTATGAAAGAGAGACATCACAAGAAACCAACCATCTTAGCCATATTCTTGAGAACAGGGTAAGTAAACATTTTTGTATGTTTATTTTGTTGTAAATTCTGTGACATATAAATACATTGTTGAATTTCTATATTGTACCTTGTTTCTTGTAACAGATGATGAATGCATTTCAGAAGTCCAACATTTACAGACAATATATCAATTCTCAAGTCATCACATTGATGTAAGTAACATTAACATTTAGAAAAGTGATCAAGCCATAGTACATGCCATTATATTGTATTTCAAGTTCTACTTTAAAAAAGGTTTATGAATATGTTACAGTTATTATCCAGTAAGTAATTAATACTCAGGATTGTCTCAAAAGCCTTACTATTTAATAGAAAACTAAAGACCAGTTTGGGCTTACATAGGTAATTTTGCTAGACCGAATTAGAATGCATCAATTTGTTAAATTGCAGATTATTTATCATTATAGTCTGTTAAGTTTTTATGTCCACAAACATTAGACCAATATTTGATATATATAACATTTTTTTTATTTAGCAATATAAAAGAATGTAGACTCTGTTTTCAACTGGTAAGTGAACTAACCAACTAAAGGTACTGCCCCTTGAGTTTCTATGCATTTGAGGGGATCACAGTACACAATTAATGCCTTCTATTTTTCATAAGAAAAAAAAGTATTATGTGTCCCACTGTTTAGTAGCATAAAATAATAAACTAACAAAGGGATTCCCACAAAAGAGTTAGACCTGATTCTAACTTCTGCCACTTATTAGCTTTACAGCCATGGGAAATTCAGTCCATATAATTTTTAATCTGCTCTCCCATCCATGGAATATTGATAATAACACTTATCCTGCCTCCCTTAGGAAGTCCCTTGGTGGTGAAGATTCTCAACTGCTAATGGAAAAACTGGTTCACGTCCACTTAGTGGCTTTTCATTAGAAAGTCATGGAAATAGACTATATTAATAATTTAGTAAAATCATGTAAGATACAATATAGTCCTACTGTAATACACATGAGTTGTCATGATTCAGAAGTGACTCAAGGATAACTGGTGTTGTCTTATTCATTGGAATGTACTCAAAAACAAAGATGTTAGTGTGCGTGAAATTACTGGCTAATAATAAATACTTTCCAAATTAAGTGCCTGTGAGTCTGAACCATCACATTTGCTAATAGTCATGTACTTAATTGTGCTTTCCACTCATTAACTCATTGTCATGTGAATGATACCAACTCACCGTAACCCATCATTGAATTCCTAAAGTTGTAAATCTTTTTTTTAATGTAGAAAATATTTGAATGCTTTTCCATTTTTGCACATTTTCTTCCCCCCTCCTCTTCCTCCTCTAGCCCTCCCTGCAATGCACTGCTTTTGCCAGATTGTTGTCCTACATGTAATGCCTTTCAGATAGTTCTTCCCCTCATCTGATCCAATGTAGTGGTCATTATTCACCCATGCTGTTAGAAATTAGAACTGATGTGGGGTGATGGGTTGAGGAGAGAATGGGAAAGAGGCAGAATGATGAAGTTGTAAATCTTAATAGGCAAAGACTTCACATTTTTCTCCCTAGGGGCCATTAGTGGATTCAAAGCTTAAAAGATCTGTGGCCTTTTGGTTACCAGTGAAGCAAGTTAACATCCGTGTCACCAGAACTCCTGTTCCTAGGAACTAATAGTTACATAGAGACCTCTGGTGACCTAGTGGTAGGAATTTGCCCTACATACCCAAACGTTGTTGTTGTTGTTATGTGCCATCAAGTCACCTGCGACTCGTAGTGACCCTATGTACAAAAGCCCTAAACCTTACTCTATCCTGTGCCAATCTTATTGTCTCCAACACACCTACCCAATTACCGCAGTCACTGAATCAATCTGTATCATCAAGGGTCTTCCTCTCCTGCGCTTTTCCTCCATCCTCCCAAGCATAATGTCCCCCTCCAAGGACTGATCTTGCCTTGCAACATGTCCAAAGTATGTCAGACGAAGCTTCAGAATCCTTGCCTCCAAGGAACAGTCTGGTTTAACCTTTTCTAGGATGAATGTGTTCATTTTCTTCACAGTTCATGGTATATTCAAGTCTCTTCTCCAACACCACACTCAAAGGCATCAATTCTCCTTCTATCATCTCTATTCATTGTCCAGCTTTCTGATGCATAGCAAGTAATTGCAAGACCATGACCTGTATCAGATGCACCTTAGTCTTCAGACTGACATCATTGCTCTTCAGTACTTTGGCGAGGTCTCTGACAGCAGACTTTCCAAAAGCAATTTGTCTTTTAATTTTCTGGCTGCTGGTACCAAGAGTGTTCATTGTGGAGCCAAGCAGATTGAAGCTGTTAACAATTTCAATCTCTTCACCATCTGTCTTGATGCTGTCAATTGGTCCAGTTGTAAGAATCCATGTTTTCTTGAAAATGAGCTTCAATATACATTGAAGGTTGCAGTCCTTGACCCTCTGCAGCAAGTGCTTCAGGTACTCCTCACTTTCAGCCAGTAGGATTGTGTCATCTGCATAATGCAGGTTGTTGATAAGTCTACTTACTACTGATGCCATATTTCTCCTAATATAGCCCAACAGCCTTCCAGATAATCTGTTCTGAATGTAGATTAAAAAGATATGGATGGGACACATACTTGGTGCACACCCTTCCCAACTTTGAACCATATAGTATTTCCTTGCTCTGTTCTGATGATTGATCCTGCTCCAAGTATAGGTTTCACATTGTTGTTGTTGTTGTTATGTGCCGTCGAGTCGTTTGCGACTCATAGCGACCCTATGCACAACAGCCCTAAACTCTGCTCTGTGCTGCGCCAAACGCACCGCCTCTGACACACCCATCCC